CAAACACTAATCATTGTACGACCATTACAGTTGACAAACATTCTAGTGGTGCACCTTCGATTGAACTAACTTTACATTTGTGCCATAAAACCCTAATCGATAGCTCGTGATTAACAAATTTTTGTGGCTGGGATGTGAAGTGTGGTTTTTCTCATTAGCAGTAATTCATAACTTTAACTGTCAACAGGATAAATACATTATTGTTCTTGTTGTTGCAGCTTTCCTCGAGATACAAATACGTTAAATTCGGTACTTTTCAAAGCGGAAAATATTTATCAACAGCTGCCATAACTTCGGTGTCAATGAATTGGGCAGACCAATTTTTAGCCGCCTTACTAATTCTGTACCAAAGAACAAAGTAAGTCAACTTCATTCAGAGGGTGTGGTACATGACAGCAGACACCCGATCGTTTGAATGAGTGGCCCTCTTAAAGGCTTATAGAGTGGTTTAAACAAAGTGTATGGGAAGGCGTGATGCTCAGTGTCAGCATACTGCCTCTTCCGGAACCAGATTAGTCAGAGTTATCTATCATTTAAGTTTGAAAAGCAGGTGGTAAAATTTCGGATCGTTTCGCAGCCCAAATACGTTTTGAAGCTGTTGACACGCCAACAAATATAACCGCCGTTTGTGCACGCCATACGGACCTGTATTTTGGATATGAAGTGATGTTAAATTTGCATTTTGGAAACGTTATTTCCCAGACTCATTCGATTCTGTTATTTTCTTGTTGTGGAGAATATAGTTTTTTTTCGCCACTACTTGCACGAGCATAGCATTTCGAGACTCATATATCACTAAAAAGAAGTAGGGATTCTTTAGTACTGATATGTTTTGTCTGTGCATGCAGGCGATATTACATCTCTTGGCGAATATCCAGGTGTCTTCCATGTTTTTATTAAACTCACTGAAAGCCAAGGCTAGCGACAGCACCTTGCCTATGGGTTTTTTGTTTGATCCTGCTACATTCAGTAAAGTTTACTGTTATTGAGAAAACAAACTCGTGTTTATGCAGAGGGCTAAAGACGTTCTAGTACCCGCTTCCCCTTCCAGTGTGTTCCCCCCTTCCTTTTGTCTTTTGTCAGTTGTAAATTGACGAAGGTAAAGTATAAGCAACTTCGTAAGATAACAAAACCATGAGTAAGGACAAACGGTCAAATTTAGACGGGAATCGGGTTGGAGGGTTGCGAGTGGGGGGGTGGTGGCTGTGCGAAAATAAACGCAAACGACTGTCCGTTCTCTCCCTTTCCAAAGTTAGTGTTTTCAGCCAAAAAATCACTTGATTCTACTCTGGTTCTAGTGTTGTTTTTTTTTTTTAAATCTTTCAACTCTCAAAGTTCAAACTGCATTCTTCAACGGCTAAGGCTGAGCAGCGCACAAGAAGTTGCCGCTGTTTGAGTTTCGTTTCGTTTGCTATTTGAGTGAATCAATGGTCTTACACGAGCAAGTTTCATCCATAGTTTCGACATAGTTACACCTAGTGCTGCTTATTAATGCTTATTTGCTTGTAGCTCGCTGAAACTGTGCTGAAACCCTTTGCTTCTATTGCATTCAAGTAAAACTGACCATCCGTTAGTATTGCTTGTTTTGACGTAGACTCAGAAACGAGAGACAGCCTTTGTGTTTCTTTTAAGTTTTTTTTTTTTTTTAAATAGCCTGAAAGCTGAAGCTATGCATAAAAGGCGAGATATGCAAAAATCGTAATATACCAACATATTAAAATGCGATTACTTTGATGCTACATGCTGACGTAAAGTTTAGAATTTTTGAAAATACTTCTCGAGGGTACCCGTCGTTTCTGATCGGGGCTGATAAGCACATAAACAATAATATTGTGAAACAAAAAGGCAGTTTGGCGCACTGATACTACTGTTTTGATCATAACTCGATCTGGTCTCTTCACTTTCGTGAAGCTGGGTTCGCAAACAAAGCCGCTATTCTACTTCAGTTTAACGGGAAGCCGTGATAACATTAAATACTTTTTTTTCTGGAAAGCTTATTAACATTGAAACTTCTCCTTCTGCCATATTTTTGAGGAAATAAAGTATTGTTGGTTCTTTCATTTCCGAAACCCATGAAGTGTTCTTTTGATCGACAGTATCACGTGATTGGCAGCTGTTAACACGACCATCTCGAAGATTTTACGATTGTCGGTTTAGATATCTGCAAAAAATAATAGAGGACAAATCAGCCCGGTTTATCCGGTTCATAGGAAGACTGACAGAAAGCGAACAATCTGAGAGCGAATAATCGTATTTCTCGAAATCTCGGAAAAAAGTGATGTCCACTGAAAGCAATATTCAATTTTGGAAACGTGACTCTCTTGTTTTTCAGCGAAAGAAAGTGAAATTTTCACCGTTACCCTTTCACGCAAAATGCATTTCGCTTCCGTTGAGTTTTGGTTGGGTCTTTCCCACATACCCAACGGAAGATGTCATAAATATATGACAAAAAAAAAAAGAAAGAAAGAAAGAAAGAAAGAAAATGGTGTTCTGTGGACGAAAAATTATGAAATGTTTGTCTTTTGTTGCCAGAATTTGACACCATAAACATTATGCAATGTCCTAAATCATACTCCGGCAAAATTTGAACGGCTTTTTTGTTTCTTCCGAAAAGGAAGAAATAGAAAAACATGAAGTTGCCGTCGGCAGTTCGAAAGTTGCAGCGAAACAGACGAATTCGTATTTACTTCCGGTTGCCGGTGCGGATGATATCAGCCTTAGAATTTCCTTTTAGTTTTTTGTTTTCTTGGTCCTTTCTTCGAATTTTTCCTCTTGCCGTGGCTCTGGCAAATTAAAAGCTTTAAAAACACGGAAACCAAGCCCATTAGCAAAGTTTTCTCGCTCGATTTCTGACGAAAGAAGAATAATTTTCGTTCCTCATAATTGAAAAGGGAAAGAAAACAGGAAGTACTGGAATGACGTCAGTGACAACTATAGTAACCACCGCTTGAGGTTATAAGAATTTCTCTGTTGAACATTATGTATGCTAATTTATCAGTGGACTTTCCTACACAGCGGTACTGAATATACGCGATACTTTAAACGAAATTCGTCAGTTTTTGTGGGGGTAAGTTACTCGCTTGTATTGCAGCTTTCGGAAGGTATTTAATTTCCGATATTTCAGATGTGACTCGAATGTTTTCTCCTGAAAGCGATCAAGGCTGAACTTGTCTAGGGTCACCTACGATAGCTCATGTTTCCAAATTGGTTGCAGTTCACTAAAATAAGAATCTCTGTTTTTTTATAACATAACTAACGTCAGTAAAATATTTTTTACTATTTGTCGTGAACACGGCGCGGAAAACCCCGAAAAATGTTCGCCAATTCAAAACGCAGTATCTATGAGTCATACAGTTGCTCTAACACTGAATTCTCCCTGCCGTGCAATGACATCACTGTGACATCACGGCCCTCCCAAAATGCAAATTCCCAAACCACTTTTCTCACTCGAGGTTGTTGCCACAAATAGCACAAGCGTATCCACATTGTCACTGCAGCTGTTGTGAAAAGGCGTATTTACTGGTGGGTAAAAATAGATCTTTGAATTTTTATTTCCGTCTACACCGAAGTATAAACAGCCAAAAAACTAGCCGTACGATTTCGAAAGGTTATTGTAGCCACCTTTGGGTTTTCATTGACATTTTAACAAGCATCAAATCGTGTTTTGACTTCGTTGCAACGTACACGAACGTCTGTTTCGCTTGCAGTTTTCCGTAAACCTTGCCATCGCAGTAGCTGCCGCTAGTAACAGTGTTGTTTCTTCGCAGTTTCCGACCCTCATTTGCCACAATTTCTCAATGATTTAGGTAAAGTTCTTGCTTTCTTGTGATAACTCGAAGCACACTCGAACTTCGTCATGTTGAACACAAACCTGTAAATATTTTTACATGCAAAGATTTCATGATTTTTCCCTGCTACCCAACGACTCGATCGACGAACATCTTTCGTTTTTTCTCGATCGATACGAGCTTGCAGTGCTCGCGAAAATTCCCAGCGAAAATCAGAACAGATCGCTGATGTTATCGTGCAAGGACAAATTTGAAGCAAATTGACAGTAAGTTAAAATGCTGCGTCAGTCTGCCCGATCGCCCAAGAAATGCCGAGTAAAATTCACTGTTGATGACTTCACCTGCAGATTCGTGTTCACAAGAGGTTCAAATAGCGACGAGATGTTTCAGAATCGAGGAAGAAAGAGCAATTTTCTAATGCTCTTTCGAAATAAACGAAATTGCCAATAATGTGTCTAGGCAATGTTGTTCACGCTCCAAACGTTGTGAATTTCGCGCGAAGATTAGCAGATCTATAAGCTTATCTCTTGGTGTCTGCCAAGCCTTGAAGATCCCTTAAACATTTTGTTAAATTCACCTATTTTATCACTTATCTTGGTTGCCGCCATCCATGGTGAAATATTTGTGTTGTAGTGGAGTACACGTGAAATGGCGTAGTCGTTGCATACGATCGATCGTCCCAAACAGGCAAAGTCCACTCTCGTCGAGGGCGAAGAACGTCGATCGAATATTCGACGACGTTCGCAAGATGGCAGAATTGGAAGAAGACTTCCGGCCTTGTTTTCAACTTTTGATTTACGAGGACGTTGATTTTCGGTGAGAAATTCACAGTTTTCAGTGACCAAAGGCTGTTCCGTGCTCGGAGCGTAAACCTTCGTGAGGAATGCTTCCCAAGTGAGATCATTCACGCTAAGATCTGCGGCGAAAGTCACTGATCGTAAATGCCATGACATCATTTCACGCAATAAACGATCACTTCGCAAACGAAGGAAGAACTGCTTCTTGTAAGATCATCTTGAAGTCAAATTTGGCGAGGAGAGACGTTCGGAATCTCGCTGTTTTTTTCTACTCGAGAATTGTGAGAATTGTAATCTTGCGAAGACATTGTTGATAACTTAGCATTCCTTCCCTTGACGGTGTCGAGACTGGTAGCTGGTACTTGTTTATGATTTAATGAACTCACTTTGTTGTTTGAATCTGTTCATTTTACAGATCTACAGCGTACGACGCCTCAATCAGACGAAGTTAATTTAAAGCTGGCTGGAAGCCCCCCTACAAAACTAGAAGTTACCGATAGCCCGAAACCAGAACTCAAAATGGGAAGGAAGAAGATACAGATTTCAAGAATCGGCGACGAAAGAAATCGCCAGGTTAGAAATAAACTCTGTTCTATTCGCGCAAAGCGCTTTTTTTTTTTGCTCCCAGACGCAAATAGCAGATTTGTGGCTTTTTTCGTCCGCGCGGGCGGCTCAGAGATGCTAAATATTGCACACAGAGGTCGAAAATAGAAAGAGTGGTTTGGGGTTAGAATTTCATTATGGCGCGATATTTTTAGCTCGCGTAGGTCAACTGGGTTACCATTAGTGAATGTCGTGTTGTGTTTTATTATTTAACGATTAAGAGAGCCAGGATCGAAGTTTTCTCCGCGTTTGTGCAACGTGCCACGAAGTGTAGCGTAGCATGAAATAACGAATGCGTACCAATAGTTTCATGGCAAATTTCCCAACACCAGTAAAGTCATCAACATCTCGGTAGTAGAATCAACGTAGAAAACTTTCTAACGCACAGTGTGCCTGAACGAAAGAGGGAAATTTTTGAGTTGCGGTTTGATTTTGTCATCGTACTCGACCGATTTTTCGTTCGATAAAATTACTGTGATTTGATCTGAATAAATTTATGGGCAAACGTATCATGCTTAGCCTCGCGTGTTGCAAGATATTTTTGGCCCTTTGTTTGCCTTTTGAATTTCGAGATCATTTTAAACATGCCATTAGCGTTTTATTTCCCAGTAGCGTTTGCTTCCAAAGGTGTTTATTGACAAAGGACGTGCTTGCTGGATCTTGAACGTGTTGTACAATAATACATGTCGTTGAAACAATTGTCTGCTGTTTAAGCAGTTATCTGCAACATAAGATGTTGGCTTTGTCGTGAATAAAACATTCGTGGACTTCCTTGAGGCATGAAACAGATATAAATTTTCATGCACTGGTGATAGGGCCCTCAAACTTCATGTACACTGTTTTCCTAAATTTTTGCTGGCAATATTTGAGCTTCACCTTTTAAATACGTGTCTTTAAGGTGAAATCGATTTGCATAATTTACAATGTACGTCAAACGCCGATATCTTGATCGTGTTCGTACGTAATGTTTTTGCTGTTTCTATGGGTAAAACACAAAGGCAAGCGTGAATTTCTTTGTCTGTAGTTTCGTGGCTGAATGTAAATCGATATCTTTTATCTTAGGCTTTTGTCTCGCACTGTTCTAGAAGGCATTCCTGAAATGGTATTTGTCTGCTTCTCCCGCTGCGAATGAGAGATTCATTCCTCTAATACCGTTTGTCTACGTAAGGTCTCAAAACCGAAACACTTTCTTTTCATTTGCTCTGTTATGGAAAGCTGATTTTCCAGTAGTTCAAGTGAAAATCCTATTTATCTATATATTTACATTCATAAGTTCTGTGGACAAAACACTTTGAAGTAGAAAGGGAAAAGGTTTACTTTGTTTGTTGCCCTTTTTATGTGACATATACATTAAATAATTAGGCCATTAGTCTTTGCGGTGTTTTGTTTGTTTGTTTTTTTCAACTTCACCTACAAGGAGGTTGTAAAGTAACAGTTTTGGTGGGTAGTCTAAATCGGTAAGACAGCAGTGTATTCATCTGCAAATCTTTTAGATCACTATGCCTGGAATCTAGAATTGAAATTTGAGGACTGGCCTAGATTGGTTTACACAAATGGGTGTTTCTTCCATGGCCATTTAGAATATTTGGCATTGTTTTTGATAAAGGCCCGTTCCAATCTGTCAAAATTTGTCAAAGAAAGAGAAAACACAAGAAAAGGACAGGTTTTTCACAATATTCTTATGAAAAATAATGAACTGTTTAAAAGAAAAAAGTGGACAATTGGTTTTTGTTGACCAAAGTAAAATGATATTACTGATTTTGTACTAGCTATATATAAGGACGTTTAGCTGTAGAGAGGATTTTTTGTGTTTGAATCCTGTTTACATTTTACACCCTAGGAGAAAAGAGGGTCAAGTATTAGATTTATAGACTAAAGAGGTTTTCCCAGCTAGAATATTCGGATTTGTATTTTGTTTGAAACAAGAGCTTTGCCTGAATACACTGGACTTTTTTGAAGTCGAAAGAGAAAAACAGAACCATTTGGATTAAATCTTTTGATTCTTCATGGATGGGCAGCTTGTTTGCTTTTTCCTTATTTAGTTGTTTTATTAAAACCCGCACATGTGTGATGGCCGAATTATCAGAATGTGACAAGCTAAGTTACTTTAAAAGTTGTCAACTTGCAGTGGCATACCAATCATTGCAGTCTAATAAGGCCCATTGGGACCTGCATAAAATGTATTTTTTTTCTAGAAAAGGATCATGGTAGAGAAGGGTAGAGGAAAAAAAATAATGTTCTTCTCACATACTTGATGTAATTTGTATCTGCCAACGTTTTCTGAGGCAAAGAAGGAGTATTTTTCCTGAGGACTAGACGTTTGAATTTTTCGCAAAGTGCACCATCAAATTCTGTTCTTTTTAGCTCTTCATTTATCTGTGTGACGGTTTCAAATGTCTCTTGAAGGGTTGATCTTTTGTGAAAGCTTTGGTAAAATTTGGAATTATTTATTCAACAGACCCACTTCTAAAAAATATGAATAAGATCGTTTGCCTCCGTTGACTCATGTTCGATATTTTTTACTATAAATGCTTGTAGACCATGCTGAATTACGTGTACCAATTTTTCAAAATGAGGGTAGTTTTCCACACGCTCTATCTCTGAAATGAAGTTGGTGACCCCAATTTTATTTCTATTTCTGACACAAGTAACTCGTTATCTGACTGCCGTAAAACTTTAAAAAAAAAATCTATCGACTGGAAAATTTTCATGTGAATGTCCTTAACTAACACACATGCACAATTTGTTTTCTTTCTCCCTTTTCCAGGTTACTTTTACCAAGCGTAAATTTGGATTAATGAAGAAAGCGTATGAACTGAGCATTCTCTGTGACTGCGAGATTGCTCTGATCATTTTCAACTCTGGTAACAAACTGTTCCAGTATGCCAGCACAGATATGGACAAGATCCTTCTCAAATACACAGAATACAATGAACCACATGAGAGCAGAACAAACACAGATATTGTTGAGGTACAGTAATTGATCATGAGATACAAGTACAATGTGCAATAGAACTTTGACATGTACATTGCTGCAGATAGAAACAAAATTGGAAAAAAAAGTTACAAATGTATTTATGTCCAAATCAATATTGTGCCTTTGTCGTAACAGACTGTGGCTTTGAACATTATGCATTAACAATTGTAGAGCATAATTTTCCACCTTGCAAAATCTTTTCCTTTGTTTCATCCAATAACCCTTCTTTCCTTCAAGTGCACTTTAGTGTAAGAAGTCCCCCATATCCACCTGCANAGATGTGACTCGAATGTTTTCTCCTGAAAGCGATCAAGGCTGAACTTGTCTAGGGTCACCTACGATAGCTCATGTTTCCAAATTGGTTGCAGTTCACTAAAATAAGAATCTCTGTTTTTTTATAACATAACTAACGTCAGTAAAATATTTTTTACTATTTGTCGTGAACACGGCGCGGAAAACCCCGAAAAATGTTCGCCAATTCAAAACGCAGTATCTATGAGTCATACAGTTGCTCTAACACTGAATTCTCCCTGCCGTGCAATGACATCACTGTGACATCACGGCCCTCCCAAAATGCAAATTCCCAAGCCACTTTTCTCACTCGAGGTTGTTGCCACAAATAGCACAAGCGCATACACATTGTCACTGCAGCTGTTGTGAAAAGGCGTATTTACTGGTGGGTAAAAATAGATCTTTGAATTTTTATTTCCGTCTACACCGAAGTATAAACAGCCAAAAAACTAGCCGTACGATTTCGAAAGGTTATTGTAGCCACCTTTGGGTTTTCATTGACATTTTAACAAGCATCAAATCGTGTTTTGACTTCGTTGCAACGTACACGAACGTCTGTTTCGCTTGCAGTTTTCCGTAAACCTTGCCATCGCAGTAGCTGCCGCTAGTAACAGTGTTGTTTCTTCGCAGTTTCCGACCCTCATTTGCCACAATTTCTCAATGATTTAGGTAAAGTTCTTGCTTTCTTGTGATAACTCGAAGCACACTCGAACTTCGTCATGTTGAACACAAACCTGTAAATATTTTTACATGCAAAGATTTCATGATTTTTCCCTGCTACCCAACGACTCGATCGACGAACATCTTTCGTTTTTTCTCGATCGATACGAGCTTGCAGTGCTCGCGAAAATTCCCAGCGAAAATCAGAACAGATCGCTGATGTTATCGTGCAAGGACAAATTTGAAGCAAATTGACAGTAAGTTAAAATGCTGCGTCAGTCTGCCCGATCGCCCAAGAAATGCCGAGTAAAATTCACTGTTGATGACTTCACCTGCAGATTCGTGTTCACAAGAGGTTCAAATAGCGACGAGATGTTTCAGAATCGAGGAAGAAAGAGCAATTTTCTAATGCTCTTTCGAAATAAACGAAATTGCCAATAATGTGTCTAGGCAATGTTGTTCACGCTCCAAACGTTGTGAATTTCGCGCGAAGATTAGCAGATCTATAAGCTTATCTCTTGGTGTCTGCCAAGCCTTGAAGATCCCTTAAACATTTTGTTAAATTCACCTATTTTATCACTTATCTTGGTTGCCGCCATCCATGGTGAAATATTTGTGTTGTAGTGGAGTACACGTGAAATGGCGTAGTCGTTGCATACGATCGATCGTCCCAAACAGGCAAAGTCCACTCTCGTCGAGGGCGAAGAACGTCGATCGAATATTCGACGACGTTCGCAAGATGGCAGAATTGGAAGAAGACTTCCGGCCTTGTTTTCAACTTTTGATTTACGAGGACGTTGATTTTCGGTGAGAAATTCACAGTTTTCAGTGACCAAAGGCTGTTCCGTGCTCGGAGCGTAAACCTTCGTGAGGAATGCTTCCCAAGTGAGATCATTCACGCTAAGATCTGCGGCGAAAGTCACTGATCGTAAATGCCATGACATCATTTCACGCAATAAACGATCACTTCGCAAACGAAGGAAGAACTGCTTCTTGTAAGATCATCTTGAAGTCAAATTTGGCGAGGAGAGACGTTCGGAATCTCGCTGTTTTTTTCTACTCGAGAATTGTGAGAATTGTAATCTTGCGAAGACATTGTTGATAACTTAGCATTCCTTCCCTTGACGGTGTCGAGACTGGTAGCTGGTACTTGTTTATGATTTAATGAACTCACTTTGTTGTTTGAATCTGTTCATTTTACAGATCTACAGCGTACGACGCCTCAATCAGACGAAGTTAATTTAAAGCTGGCTGGAAGCCCCCCTACAAAACTAGAAGTTACCGATAGCCCGAAACCAGAACTCAAAATGGGAAGGAAGAAGATACAGATTTCAAGAATCGGCGACGAAAGAAATCGCCAGGTTAGAAATAAACTCTGTTCTATTCGCGCAAAGCGCTTTTTTTTTTTGCTCCCAGACGCAAATAGCAGATTTGTGGCTTTTTTCGTCCGCGCGGGCGGCTCAGAGATGCTAAATATTGCACACAGAGGTCGAAAATAGAAAGAGTGGTTTGGGGTTAGAATTTCATTATGGCGCGATATTTTTAGCTCGCGTAGGTCAACTGGGTTACCATTAGTGAATGTCGTGTTGTGTTTTATTATTTAACGATTAAGAGAGCCAGGATCGAAGTTTTCTCCGCGTTTGTGCAACGTGCCACGAAGTGTAGCGTAGCATGAAATAACGAATGCGTACCAATAGTTTCATGGCAAATTTCCCAACACCAGTAAAGTCATCAACATCTCGGTAGTAGAATCAACGTAGAAAACTTTCTAACGCACAGTGTGCCTGAACGAAAGAGGGAAATTTTTGAGTTGCGGTTTGATTTTGTCATCGTACTCGACCGATTTTTCGTTCGATAAAATTACTGTGATTTGATCTGAATAAATTTATGGGCAAACGTATCATGCTTAGCCTCGCGTGTTGCAAGATATTTTTGGCCCTTTGTTTGCCTTTTGAATTTCGAGATCATTTTAAACATGCCATTAGCGTTTTATTTCCCAGTAGCGTTTGCTTCCAAAGGTGTTTATTGACAAAGGACGTGCTTGCTGGATCTTGAACGTGTTGTACAATAATACATGTCGTTGAAACAATTGTCTGCTGTTTAAGCAGTTATCTGCAACATAAGATGTTGGCTTTGTCGTGAATAAAACATTCGTGGACTTCCTTGAGGCATGAAACAGATATAAATTTTCATGCACTGGTGATAGGGCCCTCAAACTTCATGTACACTGTTTTCCTAAATTTTTGCTGGCAATATTTGAGCTTCACCTTTTAAATACGTGTCTTTAAGGTGAAATCGATTTGCATAATTTACAATGTACGTCAAACGCCGATATCTTGATCGTGTTCGTACGTAATGTTTTTGCTGTTTCTATGGGTAAAACACAAAGGCAAGCGTGAATTTCTTTGTCTGTAGTTTCGTGGCTGAATGTAAATCGATATCTTTTATCTTAGGCTTTTGTCTCGCACTGTTCTAGAAGGCATTCCTGAAATGGTATTTGTCTGCTTCTCCCGCTGCGAATGAGAGATTCATTCCTCTAATACCGTTTGTCTACGTAAGGTCTCAAAACCGAAACACTTTCTTTTCATTTGCTCTGTTATGGAAAGCTGATTTTCCAGTAGTTCAAGTGAAAATCCTATTTATCTATATATTTACATTCATAAGTTCTGTGGACAAAACACTTTGAAGTAGAAAGGGAAAAGGTTTACTTTGTTTGTTGCCCTTTTTATGTGACATATACATTAAATAATTAGGCCATTAGTCTTTGCGGTGTTTTGTTTGTTTGTTTTTTTCAACTTCACCTACAAGGAGGTTGTAAAGTAACAGTTTTGGTGGGTAGTCTAAATCGGTAAGACAGCAGTGTATTCATCTGCAAATCTTTTAGATCACTATGCCTGGAATCTAGAATTGAAATTTGAGGACTGGCCTAGATTGGTTTACACAAATGGGTGTTTCTTCCATGGCCATTTAGAATATTTGGCATTGTTTTTGATAAAGGCCCGTTCCAATCTGTCAAAATTTGTCAAAGAAAGAGAAAACACAAGAAAAGGACAGGTTTTTCACAATATTCTTATGAAAAATAATGAACTGTTTAAAAGAAAAAAGTGGACAATTGGTTTTTGTTGACCAAAGTAAAATGATATTACTGATTTTGTACTAGCTATATATAAGGACGTTTAGCTGTAGAGAGGATTTTTTGTGTTTGAATCCTGTTTACATTTTACACCCTAGGAGAAAAGAGGGTCAAGTATTAGATTTATAGACTAAAGAGGTTTTCCCAGCTAGAATATTCGGATTTGTATTTTGTTTGAAACAAGAGCTTTGCCTGAATACACTGGACTTTTTTGAAGTCGAAAGAGAAAAACAGAACCATTTGGATTAAATCTTTTGATTCTTCATGGATGGGCAGCTTGTTTGCTTTTTCCTTATTTAGTTGTTTTATTAAAACCCGCACATGTGTGATGGCCGAATTATCAGAATGTGACAAGCTAAGTTACTTTAAAAGTTGTCAACTTGCAGTGGCATACCAATCATTGCAGTCTAATAAGGCCCATTGGGACCTGCATAAAATGTATTTTTTTTCTAGAAAAGGATCATGGTAGAGAAGGGTAGAGGAAAAAAAATAATGTTCTTCTCACATACTTGATGTAATTTGTATCTGCCAACGTTTTCTGAGGCAAAGAAGGAGTATTTTTCCTGAGGACTAGACGTTTGAATTTTTCGCAAAGTGCACCATCAAATTCTGTTCTTTTTAGCTCTTCATTTATCTGTGTGACGGTTTCAAATGTCTCTTGAAGGGTTGATCTTTTGTGAAAGCTTTGGTAAAATTTGGAATTATTTATTCAACAGACCCACTTCTAAAAAATATGAATAAGATCGTTTGCCTCCGTTGACTCATGTTCGATATTTTTTACTATAAATGCTTGTAGACCATGCTGAATTACGTGTACCAATTTTTCAAAATGAGGGTAGTTTTCCACACGCTCTATCTCTGAAATGAAGTTGGTGACCCCAATTTTATTTCTATTTCTGACACAAGTAACTCGTTATCTGACTGCCGTAAAACTTTAAAAAAAAAATCTATCGACTGGAAAATTTTCATGTGAATGTCCTTAACTAACACACATGCACAATTTGTTTTCTTTCTCCCTTTTCCAGGTTACTTTTACCAAGCGTAAATTTGGATTAATGAAGAAAGCGTATGAACTGAGCATTCTCTGTGACTGCGAGATTGCTCTGATCATTTTCAACTCTGGTAACAAACTGTTCCAGTATGCCAGCACAGATATGGACAAGATCCTTCTCAAATACACAGAATACAATGAACCACATGAGAGCAGAACAAACACAGATATTGTTGAGGTACAGTAATTGATCATGAGATACAAGTACAATGTGCAATAGAACTTTGACATGTACATTGCTGCAGATAGAAACAAAATTGGAAAAAAAAGTTACAAATGTATTTATGTCCAAATCAATATTGTGCCTTTGTCGTAACAGACTGTGGCTTTGAACATTATGCATTAACAATTGTAGAGCATAATTTTCCACCTTGCAAAATCTTTTCCTTTGTTTCATCCAATAACCCTTCTTTCCTTCAAGTGCACTTTAGTGTAAGAAGTCCCCCATATCCACCTGCAACTTGGTGCTATTTTTATTAACAAATATTTTGTTCTTCTTAAATGTAATTAACAGACGATTTCAAAGAAGGAGAATAAGGCATTGCCTTCCCCTGATGACACAGAAAAGGTGAGTTATACTGCATGTGTGAAATTATTGTTGTTAGAAATCAAAATATATGTTTAAATGGCTTCAATGATTTCAATGTGAAATAAAGCTACACGCTGTCATCTAAACTGCACATTTGTGATGTTTGCAACCTATATTTGCGGGGAAAAAATTGTTATCTATTTTTCAAAGTGAAAATCTTAAGCAACTTCTTTTGTAAAATTTGTTATTTCAGGTTTGTGTGAAGGAGTTTAATTTTATATTAGATGTTGAATTGTGTACCAATTTCTTCAGTAGAGAACAAAATTATTGCTTGTTTACATGCAATTACAAATACATTTCCTTTCTCGATGCCTTGCTAATGGACAATTTATGTCGCTAAAACATTAATTGAACCAAACATACTTTTAATGTAAAGAAAACATTGATTGCAGTGCTTTTGTAGTGCATTTAGCAATGTCAAACAAATCATATATTTAGTCTTACGTGTACATTAACATTGCACTCTTGCAAATCAACAACAACAAAAAAACTAGAAAATCTCACTCATTACTTAGAGAATTCAATTGTCTCAAGTAAATGCCTGAAGAAATTAAAGATTTTAAACTAATTTTTCTTTGTTTTTTTTTTTTTCCTGCAGCAATTTGTGTTGACTCCAAGAACAGAAGAAAAGTACAACAAAATCAATGATGAATTTGATCAGATGATGAAAAAGAACTTGCTTCAGCCAGTAAGTATACATGACCAATGAAATCACTGTTTCTGCATTTATACTTCTCTTTGGCCTTGAAATGTTGATAATAGGAAGTATCCATTTTAAATCTATTTGGTCATAAAATGATAAAAAGAAAGTTTTGGTCTTGCAATCCCGTGAAGGGTTTCTGCCAAACATTTGCATGTAGCTTGTTAGTCCTCTTTACAGTCCAGCATTCTAGTCTTGTCGTGCAACACAGTATTGCGCTTGAAATGGTTTCAATATTAGTACTTATTTTTCAGCAGCAGTCAACTACCACAGGAGATAATTTTCATCATTTGCCTGTCACTATCCCTGTGTCCTCAAACAATGGATCTGAGGAAAGTTATGGCAGTAGGCCAGGTAGTAGAGAGGCTGTAGGCGTGGGTCCCAGCCTTCCAGTGAGCTCAAGTGCTAGAATCACTGCTGACCACATGAATGGTAGACTGCAAGGAAATGCTGCTGGTATAACAGGTAGGATACTTCATGTACTCATTAGATGAAAACTGCTTACTCAAGTGGAAAGTTTCCACCAGATGACTGTTTTTAATGTGGAAAGCATTCACAACTGTTTCCTGTGGAAACATAGCTGCAATAACATGTTCCGCATGATTGTATTTTCTTTTTTGTAGGGGGGCAGGGGGTGGGGGAATGTTTTTCTGGTAATCATACAATATATCTCATGGTTAATTTCATAAATTGCTTGTAGTAAACTTTCTGCTGATTGATATGATTAAAATATTTTGGTTGACTAAAAAAAGAGTTTCAGAATGTATGAGTAAGCAAATTAGAAAGGAAATGTAAACATGTGTAACATCTTACAGTTGACATACATGTACTGGTGTGCAGGTGTATATTCCTGAAACATTTTGACAAATCTTACAAGTTCAACCAAGTGGCCTTCCACTGAAAAAAGTTGTTAACATTTGACATATACTGACTGACAATTTGGCAGCTTCACCTAGCTATATCTACTTGTAACTTAAACACAACCTTCCTTACTATACTCTTCTTGGCATGACTGATAAAGTTTTGTTATTTTGCGTATTTGTATCACATGTATATTTTGCTGTTTACATTGTGAATTTAGAATATTCGAGAATGNACAGAAATAAAGTTCACCATTACTTTAAGCACGTTTGAAACTATAGATTGGGATAATAAAAGAGAGTACGAAAATTTCGTTTCAGTGGCACTTTAAATAAATGCACATAATAATTTTGTAAAATTCAACACACAAGTCTTGTTTGTAGTGATGTATGTTACATTTGTGTTATTAATATTGCACATATCAATAAGTGAAAATAATCATTTACTAGAACTGTAAGCCTGTAGACTTCGTTTCCAGTATAATGTACAATTTAAAACCTGTTTATTTAAATATCAAATTGCATGTTGTAGTTTGTGGGGAAGAAGCCAGAGAAAAAGGTTTATTGCACCAATTATTTTTATTAGTTCCTAAAGTATAAAAATAGTCCATTGGCCTCATTACTGTAATTTACTTTGTTTGCAAGTATTAATTACAAGATCTGTATGTTGTCAGTTCCAAGCATGCCTGGTCTCCACTCATAAAAAAAAAAAAAATTGACTAACCATAATGTTTTTATATTTCAGACCAATTGTACCCCACACCTCCCCAAAGCTGATAAAGGAATGTACTTCCACTGGTTTCCTTGACAAAATTACTTGTACTTTTTTTGCCAAATTATATTGTACAAATCAATTAAGAATTTAACAATCTCAAAGCACTGGAAATCAAATACATGTAGGAGATTATTGGTGGCAAGCTTTTGCATTTCATTTGGAGTTACCTTTCATTTTGATTGTAAATTTGTTAATGCACGTATCTTTGTAAGTAATTTGTATTGCAGCCAAACAAGGTTGATGTGTAAATTGACATGGATATATTAATTTTTGATCCATCATATTTTCTGACCTTCAGTACTGTACTGCATCACTGGAATTTGCAATTCGCATTTGCAAATCCAATAATTTTTCTGCTTGTGCTTGAAATTTTTTTGTATTGCGAAAATAATGGCAGAATTTCTTAAGCTGATGTCATTGTTTCTGATGGGCATAAAAACACACAAAATTGATCTTGATTGTACAGAGAAAATTCCGTGGTCAAATGGGGAATGTGCTGCACGTATTCTTTGTATGAATATGGTTATTTAAATAGTTTTAGCTCCTAATTCATATACCTACAGTCATTTTTAACTTTTAAAGTGATAACACTGTCTAACTTTTGACTTAAAAGATGTTTAAATTTATTTCATTGTCAGCAGCAACCTGACTATAGGAAGCTTTTTTTTTTTGCAAAAGAAATTAACTTTTTAAAAATGATATCAAATGCAAAATAATAATATTTGTAGCTTGCAACTGAAAAAATTAAAACCTATAAAATATTTTAAAATGTAATTTCTCATGTTTTTTTTTTATAACCACTAAAACAAACAACATAAATATGATTTGAGAATATAAAATGCAAGAATATAAAACAGATAAAAACAATAATAAACAATGAATAAATTCACTAGTGAATTTTACTCTGAGTTCAATTGGTAGCCTGCATCACTTATAATAAGTAAGAAATATTTAGCAGATGCCAGGGTTGCGACAAATTCAGAACTCATGACAATGTACCCTACATTACAACTAATAAAGAATTGTTCATGTAACAGATGCTTTTACTGCATAATGACTACATGTCTATTGTGCTCTTAAAAACTTTTGATCATTTTCAAATGTCTTTGTTTTAAAATATCTATTGATGTTCAAACACGGTGTAAACAATGTTGTAAAAGTTTACATTTAAGTACTTCTAATGATTATACTAGGTATACATTTTAATTTGTAAGTTGCTGTTACTGTAAGTAGAGACAAGTGTAATTTATTGAATTGAATAAACCTTGAAATGAACAGTCACTGTTGTTTTAAACTTAACCTTGTTTAATTCATTTTGTTATGTGTAAATGTGTCAAATTCAAAGCCTTCAAATAAAACCTTGAAATAAACAGTCACTGCTGTTTTAAACTTAATCTTGTTTTTTAAATTCATTATGTTAGGTGTAAACGTGTCAGAATTAAAGCCTTCAAATTATTATAATAAAAAAAAAATAAACACTTCTAGTTTTTGTGAATCGTAAATAATAACTCACAATAAACAGTAGGTTGCAACAAATAGACGTAGTATGCATGATGTAACAACAAAAACAACTACAGTGGAAATGCTACAAATTTGAAATGGTAAAAATGTAGACCTTGCATATTGCTTCAAAATTGAACACCATTTTTAGGTCCATTGTTACTTCCTGAATGTCCTATAACCAATGCCACATTGTTCTCAGATTACCTTGCTATCCTCAAGAAATAGCTATGTGTTTATATTTTTTTTTCTTGTAAAATTAGATTTGAGCATGTAGATTTGAGCAACAAGCATGCATGAAATTCGATCTGATTCTGTCCATAAGGAAACGAGGACTAGCACTCTATCTTTTCCTTGAATCTCTCCATATCTCTTATCGTCTGTCGTCATTATTGTTCAGTGTTTTTGAGAGGGAATGCATTTTAAATCAAGAAGACACCCTATGCGACATTGTAGTGAAGAAGAATAGGCGATGATAGTTAAAAAGACAAAATTTTCCCAACATACAGTACATGAGCTTTTAGTTTACAAAAGGTGGTTCAAATTTTTCAGTCTGTTGATGGATTACATTTAGTTTTATGTTTAAAAAGAACAGTGCTTTTCATGTTTTCAAGTTTTCCAAGCGTTCTTTTCTTCACGGGACATTCCTACAATAATGTTCTATACTGACATAAATGGACATAATATATCTCAATCAAAGATGAACAGTACATTGTACACTTTCTGACAGCTTGTGTGGCATGACAGAAATGTAACACCAGATTCCAGCTCTACACACTTCAATTTGCTGCAGCCTTTTCTTGCATTTTTGTATTACAGACAACCTTTTTAATAATCTTGTATTTTGTCAAGCAATAATAGATGGTTGGCTACCTTTTTGCCAGCCAATTCTGATCATATAATGATTCATTCGGGAGGTTTATATTGTTCTGTTTGTACATACTCCCATGCAATCAGTTGTGTGTGACAAATTGCACAATTCTAACCTCCCAAATGAATCATCATGTGGTCTGAATTGGGTGGAAGGATGTGGGCACGTCAGCCAAATCAGTCTATTCTTTATGTGCTTTTCCAGTTCCCCTTAACTGGTGGGAGTTGGAAAGTAAAGTAGAATACAGTTTTTGCTGTACATTAGATAGCCATGGAAGGTAACATTGTACTCAAAATGGAGAGCGTTTTTCCTTTCTCCAGGCAATACACAAAACATGTCTGATCTTGTTGCTGCAGCTGAATATAACAGAAGAAGTGTAACTCCTGGATCAGCTCAGGGAAATGAAGGCTCATTTGCCACACCCTCTGGTGGTGGACGGAATTCTGTGTCTCCACACCCACAAGCTGCCACTCCTCCACCCAGCCTCAACAGGCCATTGTTAAAGATTAACATTCCTAACAGAGGTTCCACAGCAGGACAGATGGTAAGTTTTTACATGTAGAAGAATCTGTTTGTCTTGATATTTCTGTTAGCAGGTGTTAGGCAACTATGGTGGATGTGGCTTCCTCTGTTAAGAGATACAGTGTACATTTGTCATAATTTAACTTCATTTACTTTGAGCATGGTACATAATGCTCAATGAGAACAATGTTTGTCAATCAGTCCTGTAATGGAAGCTTCCCTGCCAAATATTTTATTTTCAATGCAGCAAAACCTTGTTCATAGACAGGTATTGATAAGTAGTATGAATCCTGTTTCCCTTTTATGTATGTTAATTTTGTTC